TCGACGTCGAATGGTCGAGTTTATTCGTTGCTGTCGAACCGCGCTGCCACCTTAGCGATATCGCGCGCGGCCACGCCGGGTAATTCTTTCGTTTTTAATTGCAACGTCGAAGTATCGAAAATCGATCGAACGAACGAAAAAGATGTAAAAGCGATTCGTACGTATAGGCATCGGGGTGTGTACAGTTTTTCCCATCCCTCGTTGATCAATATTGGTAATGGACTTCAAAAACGGCGGCCTCCGTTCGATTTACCTCTAATGCCGCCTCTGCTATTAATGTTATAATATTATGTTTATTCAAGCTTTCCCCATTGCGAGAAAACGGCGAAATATGCTGGAAAATTAATAACCTACCAATTATACGAATGATGAATCGGTTTCTTTAATGGCGCAACTTTTGCGATCATTTCACGGTTTTATTAACTTATCGTGATTCGAAGTTTTACTTCAGTCTCTTTCAATCAATCATTGAAATTATATTACACACAGTTTATTTTAAAATCTCTTTAAATTTCAGCCGAATGTAAACACTGTTATAGGTACATAGTTTGTTACGTATTCAATACATATATATTTGAATAAGTATATTAATAATTGTTGAAAATAACTGTTAGAATATTGGTTGCAATTGCATGCCTCCGGTGGGACGTTCGCGTGTTATTCGAGTAATGTCGGCGATTTTCGTGGCGTGTGGCGGTTGACGGTTTTTTGTTCGCGAGCACATGGCATTTACGAAAAGTCGGCTTTGAGAGAAACACGTGCGAAATTTATATGTTGTTACGTCCCGGATCGCGGTTCACGTAAAATAGGAGAGGAACTCACCGGTATTGACGCTAATTGTACAATCTTTTTGGCCATGCGGTACGTACGCCCGTCATCTGCCAGGGATCCCGGGTGTTTTAACGTAGCACAGTGACTTACTCTCGATACTTCCCGTTGATTGTTGATTTGGTACGTCGATTGGTATTAGTTTCCACTCTATGTTCGCGACGCGGTTATGAGTAAGCGGCGCGACTTGTACTGGGGTTGGGAGATGGAAGGATCTTACTAGCTTGCGTAATTGGTATCTACGCCCTCCTCGTCGCTTTCTTTCCATGAGACAAAATAAATGCAAAGACGTCAAACACACTATTGATACCGTGCGGCTGATTCTCGCACCACCGGTCTCGACTAAATCAAGGTAACTGCTCTAGAATATAATGCTCGTAGGGATTGTACGAATAGGAGGGTTTCTTGAGGCACAAATAACTGTATGATAAAGATAAAATGAAATAAAGGTATATTCTTGAAAACGAAATATGACCAATTTTACAGAGATATACTTAATGGTTAGCGCGACGTAATAATGTAGAGTTGGAGGTGAGTAGGGACAGGAGTAACAGTTAGAGAATCTAACTTGTCGGGGCTTGAACCCGTGGTTTGGAATATCGGGGCTGGGACCCGTGACAGAGTAGTGCACTGGAATGATCCAGGCACCGGAAAGGATCGGAATGGAAGCGCTACCGTGCGATCTCCAGGCCCTTTTATATTGCCTACTGATCACGGAGGGGGAAAGAATTTTGTCAGTCGTTATCTGTTGTTTTGTCTTTTGAAAAAGATGTTTATGTCAGAGATA